TTTCGCTGGCTTTAGACTCTTTAAAAAACCAAATAAATATATTTGTAGTTTTTAATGATATAAGACACTTGCGGGCAACTTGGTGTATCAGAGAGGATTCACTTGTGTTACTTCATGGAGGAGCAGCGGGGTGGGGCTGGAGCGAGCGGCTCCGCGTCTCAGGTGCAACAGTGAAATGTAAAACGTAGCCACGAGCAAGGAGCTGGGTCTGAATCACGCGGGGTGCCGGGAACTAAAGCGGAAGGAGAAGATCCCCAGTGTGCCGTGCTGCTTCTAGTGGGATGTGACAAAAGACCTGAAATCAGGGAGAGAAAAATGATGATCCTGGAATTTGGCTCTGGCTGTCAGGGGTGACGAAGCGCGCCGGCAACGCCTCCCGCCCGGGCTATAAAGGGCTCAAGGCAGGGGGAAGCGAGCACTCGCTGCCTGCGCTGCCGAGCCGGGTGTCTCTCGCCAGCCCTCCAGCCCCGCCAGCCTTGGCCATGAGCACCACCACTGTCAGGCAATACTCCTCCTCCACCTCCCTCAAGGGACTCGGTGGCCTGGGCGGGGGCTCCAGCAGGCTTTCCTCCGTGCGCGTGGGGGGCGCAGGGTACAGAGCCCCCAGCGTCCACGGAGCCTCTGGCAGCTACTCTGTCTCTTCCCGCATCGTCTCGGGGCTCGGCAGTGGCTATGGGGGCAGCTACTGCAGCAGCGTAGGAGGGGGCCTCGGCAGCGCCTTTGGGGGCAGCTATGGGGCCGGCTTCGGGGCCGGCTTTGGGGGCGGCTTTGGGGGCGGCTTTGGGGGTGGCGATGGCATCCTCCCGGCTGGCGAAAAGGAGACGATGCAGAACCTCAACGACCGCCTGGCTGCCTACCTGGACAAAGTGCGTGCCCTGGAGGAGGCCAACACGGACCTGGAGGTCAAGATCAGGGAATGGTACAAGAAGCAGGGACCTGGTCCAGACCGCGACTACAGCCCCTACTACAGGACCATCGAGGAGCTCAGGAACAAGGTAGGATGCTTGTCACTGCCGAGACATCTTCATTGAAGTCACGTTTAAAAAGATGACCCTGTTCCTGAAAGCTGAAGGGAAGAGCACCAACAAATGACAGGTCACTGGTCTGAGACGGGAAAAGCGGAGCTTGGAAATAACAGGGATCATTTCTGAACAGCAGGTCCTCGGCCATGTCCTCCCCGAGGCGCAGGGGTGGGGTCTGTACTGACTGTTTCAGGGTCAGGGCTGTCAGGGGCTGGCTCAAGTTGCCTGATGCCGCGGGGCGGGCGCTGCCCCACCAGCCATCTCCTGCCCCGGGCACCTGCTCCCCCTGGCAGGCTCCTGCTTAGGCGCTGCAGGCAGGGACACGTTATCTCTTTGGCACTCTTCAATACTGGGTGATATGCAAATGAAGATGCTAAGTCGTTCTCATAAACCCCTTACAAACCAGATCTTTTCTAACCTGATAGGAGGCTCCAGGTAGAGGTTAAAAAAGAAAGAACCTGCCCGATGGGATGGCTGGGTTTTGGGGGATGCAAACACAGAGGCGAGTGAAGTGCAGGAGCCCGAACAGCCTGTGGTGGTGGCTGGAGTCAAGCGCATGCCCCGCTCTGAAATGCAGCGGATGAAATCGCGGCCAAGCTTGTTTCTTTGTTCCCAGCAGCTCCCTGGCTGATCTTAGGCAAAGGCCCTTGAACAGAAGCGCCAGACTCTGTCCTTCCCCTCCCACCCGCCACCGCTGTCCCCCCTCTGCCCACGTTACTCATCGTGGTGACGGTGACGTCCCCAGCAAGCTCAGGCTTGGTGGGAGGGCTGAGGTGTGGGCGCCGGGTGAGGACAGGACCTGCCCTGGGAGGGGAGGGGGCAGCAGGCGGAGGGCTCAGCCCCGGGGGAATCACGTACCGACCGTTGTTCAGTTCCTTTAACCCTTCTCTTGGGCTTCACCTCGGGGTCAAGGGCTCTTGCCCTCACGCACAAAGTTCTCTTCAGATTCCGGGTGTGCTCTGACCCAGCTCCCAGACACATGTGGAGGCAGAAGCTTCTCTCCAGATTCCAGAAGTGCCGGGTCCCACAGAAACCCTCTGCTCGTGACCCGGAGGGAGGCAGACCCTTCCCTCCCCTCCCGCGCCGCAGCTGGGAAATCACCACATCAATATTCCCGGATTATTGCTTGGATATCCCCTGAAGCATCAGAACTCAGGGAGAGCTTTTCATTAGCTTGTGGCTACAGAAATTACCGCTCGTTAAATGGCCAATCATTTTCAAAATCCCAGAACAAGAATTTGTACCTCGGGTGCAATTACGAAAGCCAAACTAGTCAGGCACAAGACACTCCCTCCTCAACCCTTTTTTTCCTCCCAGCTGGGCTGTTCAGCATTGCCAGACAGAGCCCGGAGTGCTGCCAGGACTCTGAGTGTGGCGTGAGCACCCGGAGATGCCGCTCCGGAGGGGGCAACAGGCTGTGGCACGCGCGTGTGCCGGCGCCTGCACCCGACGGGATCAGCGCCAGTGGGAGACGGGGCAGGAGCAGCCCGTCCCTCCCTCCCTCTCTCTGCGCAGAGGCCGTGTGGAAGTTCAGCCTGACGCCTTCAGTGCTGCTCCGGCCCTTCTGAAGGGGAACTCGGGCAGCAGCACGCCGTTTTTGGGGACTACTTTTTCACTTTTCTGCTTTGTTTTATCCCCTGCCAGATTCTTTCTGCGACTGTTGAAAATGCCAACATCGTCTTACAGATCGACAACGCCAGGCTGGCAGCGGACGACTTCAGAACCAAGTGAGTCCAGCGCCTCTGAGAGCTCGTGGGAGAAGGGAGGGAAGAGCTGGTCTGCTTAAGGCTTTGCTTCACCAGGTCACTGCTCACCAACAGTGACACTGGGAATGTGCCCCTCTTCCTGGACACAGCGGTGCCCTGACAGTCCTGCACCGTGGGGAGCTGTGCACGCACAGTTAATAACAGCTGCTCGGCAGAAATGCACCAGGCTGGGGAAGGAAACGAGAAAAAAACTTCTATCAGCTTGGCCCCACGGTGCGACTGTGTGTGTGTCCCCAGGTTTGAGACGGAGCAGGCTCTGCGCCTGAGCGTGGAGGCCGACATCAACGGCCTGCGCAGGGTCCTGGATGAGCTGACCCTGGCCAGAGCTGACCTGGAGATGCAGATCGAGAACCTGAAGGAGGAGCTGGCTTATCTCAAGAAGAACCACGAGGAGGTGAGCACAGAGCCAGGGACCTACAAAACGTACCTTGTGCATAGAGGTCAGGTCAGGCGTGCAGGAGTGTCTCTGACATCAGGAGTAAGGGGGAGGGAAACAATTCTTTCGGCCAGGCCTCCGGGAGGAGGTTTGGGGGGTTCGTGTGCTGGGTACTAAGAAATCTGTCGCGACGGGAACACACGGGTGTCCCTCTGACATGTATCACGTGTCTCTTTTGCCCCAGGAGATGAACGCCCTGCGCGGGCAGGTAGGTGGAGAGATCAGCGTGGAGATGGATGCTGCTCCCGGGATCGACCTCACCAAGATCCTGGCCGAGATGAGGGAGCAGTACGAGAGCCTGGCGGACAAGAACCGCAGGGACGCCGAGCAGTGGTTCTTCAGCAAGGTGAGCCGGGGAGCCGGCAGTGCCGGGGGGTGCGGGACCGGGGCTGTGCCCCTCGCCGGGGCGGTGACGCACGGTTCTGCCTCCTCACAGACGGAAGAGCTGAACCGGGAGGTGGCCATCAACACGGAGCAGCTCCAGAGCGGCAAGACGGAGATCACGGAGCTGCGCCGCACCATCCAGAGCCTGGAGATCGACCTGCAGTCCCAGCTCAGCACGGTACGAGGGGCCGGCTCCCTGAGGGGCGGGGGGCTCGCAGCAGCGCGGGCCGGGGGACGCAGGGGCGCTGCCAGCCCCACACCACCGCCCCCCTGAGCCCGACCCTCTCCTCTGTGCGCAGAAAGCGGCGCTGGAGGGCACCTTGGCCGACACTGAAGCCCGCTACGGCACCCAGCTGGCCCAGCTGCAGGCGCTGATCACCAGCGTGGAGGAGCAGCTGGGCGAGCTGCGCTGCGACATGGAGCGCCAGAACCACGAGTACAGGGTCCTGCTGGACGTCAAATGCCGCCTGGAGCAGGAGATCGCCACGTACCGCCGGCTCCTGGAGGGCGAGGACGCCCAGTACGTAGAGGGGCTCCCTGGGGAGGGTGGCTCAGGGGGAGACGGGTGATAGACGCAGAACCTGCTCTCTGGGCGCTCGGTCCCGTTGCAGCGCCCAGGGCCGGTCTCCACGTTGGCACCAGCCGCAGGTCCCGGTGGCTCTGTCCCCGCTCCCTGCAGGGAGATGCTCTAACGGGCACCAGTTGGTGCTGGAAGGGGCGGTGGCCCCTCTGGCCTCTCGGAGACACCACGTGGGGCAGCAATTTTGGCAGCTGCTCTCAGCCTTTGCTGTTTTCCTCCTGCCTGAAATCAGAGCCTGCGTATCAACAACGAAAAAGAGTTTGTCCCTCAACTTCTCTCTGTTTTTCTCCCTCTCTTGTAGCATCTCTTCCCAGTACTCCTCTGCCATGGCCTCGCACTCCGGCAGAGACGGTAAGAACCTGTCTCGCTGTGCTCACCTGTAACAAACAGCTTGAGATCTGCTTTGGAGCAGCCGCCAGACCGAGGGGGGCTGAGGCCACTCCTGGGGCACGCTGTGCCACCTCGCTGGCTGCTCAGAGACCGCAGCGGCGAGAGCTCGGGTGCATCTTGCAGCTGCGAGCCACAGGGAAAGCTCTCAGGAAGGGCAATACCTTCCACTCCTGTACCGCAAGAACGGTCTGACCTAAACAGGCCTTG